TTGCCCAGGCTGATCTCAAACTCCTGGGCTCAAATGATCCTCCTGCCTCAGCCTCCCAAAGTGCTGGGATTATAGGTGTGAGCCCTTGCACCTGGCCACCACATTCCTCTATAGTTTACCAATAGTATTAAATGTTGACTTACAAAATTTTCCAATTTACTCTTCTATTCAGACCAATGAATCATTTCCCATAATAATATGGAAAGTTACCTGGACATCATTTTCCAGGTCAATCCTGAGAACCAAATATAAAGTTGTCACATACATACACTATTCCTTACATATTATACTGCATTCTAGCTAGTTTTTCTTTTTTTAATCATTCATTGGATTATGCTAAATCAGACATTGACAACATTGCCAAGATGAAGATGGGTAAGTTTTCAGCCTGAAAAAGATCTGTTGGTTTATTACTATCTAGCTTCTCATTCCTCAGGTAATGTACAGTGGCTCACACTTATAATCCCAGCACTTTGGGAGGCTGAGGCAGGAGGATCGCTTGAGCCCAGGAGTTCAAGACCAGTCTGGGCAACATAGTGAGACCATGTGTCTACAAAATATAAAAACATTAACTAGACATGGTGGCATGTGCCTGTGGTTCCAGCTACTCAGGCCTGAGGTGGGAAGATTGCTTGAGCCCAGGAGGTTGAGGCTGCAGTGAGCTATGACCGTACCACTGTACGATAACCTGAACAACAGTGAAATGCTATCTCAAAAAAAAAAAAAGAAAAGAAAAGAAAAAGAAAAGCTCATTCCTCCCATGTCAAGGGCTCCCACTGGCTTCTCTTTACTTTATCCACTGATTGACATAAAAAAGCTACTACCAAATCATGCTCCTGTCCTCCCATAAACTTTCATATGGGTTTGCTTTCTAGAAGGAATGAGTGTAGAATATTATCACCTCTGTCTTGGAAAAGATAATAAGCCCTGCAATAATTAGTTTTGTGAGCCTTAATAACTTTTAACACTATGAATATAGATAGTGTTCTCTTAGTTATCTACTATATCACATTCTTATCTTTATGCATATCAATTTTGACAATTATGAATATGGTAGATAATAAATACTATAGAACCTGTGTCTATAAATAGACATTTAAATAACCACCATTACTAGTGACTTGTCTATAATAGCTATCATGAAGAAACTCATTTGTCATCATCATTTTCTATTGGATGAATAGTGTAAAACAAAACAAAAAAAGACATGCCTTTGCTGACAACCTTCAACAAAAACTGATCTATTCCATTTCTCTCTAGAGTAATAATTATGTTTTCTATAATTATAATGATTATGTTTTTTGGTATTTCTATGTGCTTTTTTGAGGGTGTTCCAGGGAAAGGTTTCTATTTGCATCAAACAATGAATCAAAAGTACGGGAACTTAAACTGTGCAAAGGATTGTTCTGAAATTGATGGTACTTTGAACGATACGAAACAATTACATTGTCTTATCAATGGATGGTAACATACACGGGGAATCATAACCGTTAAAGCTGACACATTTAAGAAGTTATCTAAGAGTGGAATATAGTTAGGTCCTTATAAAAATATTTTTCAAAATATTTTCTCTAATATGTTGAGAAGTATCAGTAATTTGTAAGCCTTTTAAATTAAATGGAAAAAGTCGTATCTTTGTGCAGTTCTTAGGTTTTAGCGTTTGTAGTCCATCAGACTATAGAGAAATAAAATAGAAGAGCAAAAAAAAAAAAAATTCTGAAGCATTAAAATGCGTATATACTGGGAAATATTTAGTTTCAGTGCAAACTTTTTATCTTGGTCAATCATTGCCATTTGAGGGTTTGATTACAGTTTTCCCAGCACCGAGACGTAAATGTGAGACAATTCGCTTGGAGGAGTGGGGAGGTAATTAGCTTATCTCATATCAACCCGTCTGTATTTTCTATGTCTGCACAAGGTGTTATAGAGAAATTTTCTGGACCAATAGAACCTCAGGAGACAAGTGGGGGAAGTCGTGTATATGGAGCAGGTTCTCCGAGAGAACTCGATCGCCCTCTAGGTTGCATTTACAAGCGGAGTTCGCCGAGGCAACTCTTGACTACTTCGCCACCAGGGAGTAAGAGGAAAGGGGCCGGATTCCTCCCGGTGGGAGGACTATCTGGACCAAAGAAAGAGACTGGCGACAGGAAGGAAGGACAGATCAAGCATTTGAATAGCAGCCACAAGGCAACCTAAAGCCTGTGCAGCGCTAACAGGCGCGCATCACACAAAGCTCCCCCGTCTCCCCCTCCCCCCAAGCACCCCTGCGCCGTGTGTCACCTTCCTGTTCGGAAGTCTTAGTAGGTTGCTGGGACAGAACAGGGGGCGCCTGCTCCACCCATCAGGTATCCGGTTGGAAGAAAAGCCAGTCTCAACAACTTGATTCTCTCAGTTAAATGATAAGTTTAGCCGACCATCCGTCTCCAAGTGCTGAACACTGGGGTAGGGGAAGGAAGGAGCACATCAGACGTTCCCTTTCTTTTCCAACCACAAATCATATGGTTGCATCTCTTCTGTATTCCGCCTAGAGTCCTCCAACTTGAATTCCACGTTCCTCCCAGAATGCATGCCACAGAGCCTCTTTGAGAAAATGAACCCTGTGCATGTGTTTTGAATTTTTTCTGGACTGATTTGTGATGATCATCAGTTGAGTTACATCTCTTGTGTGTCGTGCTGGGGGTGTAATAAAGCTAGGACGCTGATGACTGTAATTTTCTGAGTGATGTTGCAATGGGGAAAATAAATGGCCCAGTGTTGAACTTTGCAGCTTGCTCCCTTCCTGTATTTAAATTGCCTTGATATAAAGTGGGGTTCGTAACAGAACAGGGACAGCCGCCTCTCATGTGATCTCAGAGCTTCCAGCTTATCAGAGGCATATGCAGGGAGGCTTACTCCAGCCATAACTGAGCTCTATTGCCAGCCTCCAGAAGTAATCCCCAACCTGCATATTCTTGGGCAACACGAAGAATGAAAGATGAAACTAAAAAATCCCCTTTAAAAGGTTAGTACTTACAGTACTATATTTTGCAGATGCCTTGGAGGATCTGGGGTTACTTGGCATGGGGAAGGCACACAAGGTGCGGTGTAGGAGAGCGTCTTTGGTTGCAGGTTTCTTAATTATGTTTGAAAACAAACATGCAAAAGTCTGTGTGCAGGTTGATGTTTCTGGGCAGTCTGAAAAAATTTTTCCTCTCAGGAGGGGAAGGAACCAGGTGGGAGCTGGGCTAGGCTGGGCTAGGCTAGTTGAATGGTGGGACATGACATGGGTGGCATTGGCAATAACGAAGTCATATTCTATGAAGATTCTGTGCAAGAGGAAGCAGACATGGGCCAGTTGCTGTGATTTGCAATCGTTTAAACATTGCTTTAGGTTGGCGTGTCAATTTTAGGTACTAGTTTAAGTGCTTTTTAAAAGTGTAGGCACTGAGCAAAATTTCCCAGCCAGACTCCAGGAGAAGGAATGTGTGTTTCCCTTCTCTCGGTTTGGGACGGTTGCAACAAAGCTAACCGAGAAGCAGTTGAGACTAGAGATCACTTTAGGGCAAGTGGGGTGGTTGTGCCTGCAAAACAAACACCTGCCCAAGACCAAGGAAAAGGCGTTTCACATGCTGTTCCGGGTTTGACAGCTGGCATTTTGGGGCTATGCCAGATCCAGTGGGCAACTTTAAAATGGCAGAGCCCTTGGCAGCAAGAGGTCATGGCAGGGCAGCCACCGCAGACAGCACCAGCGAGCGCCAGGTACCTGGCCCTCCGAATAGTGGTAACTTGTAACTGTCTGCCCGCTCCCGGCCGGGTCGCTGTGCTCGCGGCTTCCCAGCCAGCACTGGCGCGCGTCCCCGCGCCGGCGGTCAGGCTGCGGCTCCCAGACACCCCCAGCCGCGGGGTTACTGGAAGGCACCGGCAGAGCCCGGGCCGCCGCCTCCAGCTTCCCTTCCTTCCCTGTCTTCTGCAGTGGAGAAGGACTAATCTTTCAGAATGAAGTCAGTTTATGTGGAACTCGAAAGAGCGAGGTGGCAAAACTAAGACGAGCCCCGGGGCAGCGTTGAGTTAAACCCAAGGAGGGGTAGGGACGGTTTTAAGACCATGTATCGTGACCTGCAGGGTTTTCAGGTGGGAGAACGCGAGAGGAGCAGGCCCTCTAGGGGAATCGAAGGATGCCCGGGTCACGCCAGGTCGGCCCCCGCCCCCCAGGCAAAGCTACCTCTCCCTTCACTTGTTACCTCCTCACGTGTTCCTGGCATGGCAGAGATTAAAAATGCAAGGAAAAAAATTACATGCGGAACGGACAAAATGTTCTCAGAGATTACTTAAGAAAAAAAAAGTGAAATGCAGATTGTGCTTTTTTTTTCCTTTGGTGCAGAGACGACTTTTATTTCCGCCCCCTCCCCTCCACATTCCTGACCTCTCCCTCCCCCCTTCCCTCTTTCTTTCCTTCCTTCCTCCTCTTCCAAGTTCTGGGATTTTTCAGCCTTGCTTGGTTTTGGCCAAAAGCACAAAAAAGGCGTTTTCGGAAGCGACCCGACCGTGCACAAGGGCCATTTGTTTGTTTTGGGACTTGGGGCAGGAAATCTTGCCCGGCCTGAGTCACGGCGGCTCCTTCAAGGAAACGTCAGTGCTCGCCGGTCGTTCTCGCCCGCCGCGCGCCCCGCCGCCCGCTGCCCATGGGGGAGATGCAGGGCGCGCTGGCCAGGGCCCGGCTCGAGTCCCTGCTGCGGCCCCGCCACAAAAAGAGGGCCGAGGCGCAGAAAAGGAGCGAGTCCTTCCTGCTGAGTGGACTGGGTAAGCGCCGCCGCCGGCCCGCTGGGGACTTGGCTCACTTCCCCAGGACGGCTCGGCTCCCAGCTTGGCTCACTTCCCCAGAGCGAGCTCGGCGGCCCGGGCCGGCTTTCGCAGGAGTGCTGGCGGGCTGGGGTCCCGGCGGCGGGGGCGGGTGGACCCGGCAGGCGAGGTCGCGCGCGCCGCCCCGCGCCCCAGAGATAACCCCAGCGGGTGGCGCGCGCCGCCGGCTCGGGCTGGGGAGGAGTGTGGGGGTCCGGTCGCGGAACGGCGCCAGGCCGCCGAGAGAGAACCTGCAGGGAGCGGGTGAGCGAAGCCACTGTGGCCGCCGCGCACCCGTCGGGAAGCGCTTCGGCGCTGCGACCCCGGCTTCCTCGGGCGGCGCAATAAAAGAGAGGTGGAAAACTACCCCGGGCTCTCCCGCCCTCCTCGCGCGCTCTGCCGGCGAGTTCCCTTGCTCTCGCTTCGGGGGCCGATGGAGGCCGATAACGGCCCCGCGCCAAGCCCTCCCCGGGCGGTCCTCCCGCCCCCACCCCCGCCCGGGGCTCGCCCTCTCAATGGGGACAGAACCGCCGGCCGCGGGCACCGACGCCACCGGCAAACCGGGAAGCGGTCGGGGCGGGGGAGGAGGGCGGGGACGTTTTAATGGTCGCGCAGGCCCCGCCCCGCGGTGGCGCCTCGCTTATAAGGCCAGGCGCGCATCTCAGCGCAGCAGACGCCTAGCAGGTCTCCGGGCGCTAACGTCCTTTGATTTCCCCGCGGTGGTGATGACGGTGAAAACCGAGGCTGCTAAGGGCACCCTCACTTACTCCAGGATGAGGGGCATGGTGGCAATTCTCATCGGTGAGTGCAGGAGTCAGGCGGGGGACTTCGGTTCCGGGAGACGCAAAGTGGACATTTTTTGAAAGTCCCAGATCAGATTAGTGTATGTGGCGCCGGACGTTATGAAGCCGTCTAAACGTTTCTTTATTTCTCTTCCTTAACCCACAGCTTTCATGAAGCAGAGGAGGATGGGCTTGAACGACTTTATTCAGAAGATTGCCAATAACTCCTATGCATGCAAACAGTAAGTTTGACGGGATTCGAGGAAATAAGAGTGACTAGTATAGTTGGAATTTGCCAGCAGTAAACACTTCTCACTGCGTTTATCGGGAAGGCGAAGACTTCTTCTGGGGTGGGGATCTCTTTTCTCCTTAAATTCTAATGTTTGACACATTTTAAACATTAAAGTTAATTTGCTGATTTGACCTGGAGATGTAAGATAAATGGTTCGTGTCTTCCAAATTCACGCCCTTTCTCCATGGACAACAGTCCTTATTTCTGTATTTAACGGGGTTTAGTATTTTCTTCTCAATGTATTGGTGTGTTTTCAGTTTAAACCCTGAATTATCCGGGTAGAAGTCAGTAGAGCCAGAAACTCACTAGTGATGTTAGTGTGCCCCCTAGTGGCGAGCTGGATTCTAAATCATCACTTTATTTCCTGCAGCCCTGAAGTTCAGTCCATCTTGAAAATCTCCCAACCTCAGGAGCCTGAGCTTATGAATGCCAACCCTTCTCCTCCAGTAAGTATTCTCTATGTGCAGTGCATCTGTGGAGAACTAAGGGAGCTCAGTTAGTATTCCTACACTGATGGATTAAAATAGCATTTCCAGAGATTAGTATTAAGGCAAGAATGCTTCATTACTTTATGGCATAACAAATGATAACAAACATTTAAGTATTGAGTTAGAGTATTATTTGATTGTATTTTTTTCTTGGGCATACTTTACTTCCAAGGTGGATTTTAAAAGGCATATTTTATTAAAATGTTTTATCTGTCTGAAACAACATGATTGTGTACAGTTTACATACTCATTTGAAATGGCTTGTGATACAGTTTTGAATGGGATGTACGGTCATTTGCCTCAGTCATTTGTAGATGTAGCATCTTCTACATTGTCTGTATTATACATGTCTTCCTTTAAAGCAATGCTATTAAAAAAAAAATCCTTCTGTTTTTCTAGCCAAGTCCTTCTCAGCAAATCAACCTTGGTCCTTCGTCCAATCCTCATGCTAAACCATCTGATTTCCACTTCCTGAAAGTGATTGGCAAGGGCAGTTTTGGAAAGGTAATTTCAAATCTGAAGATGTTTTGATATACTCCTTCATGCATTCATTTTACCTTCTCCCTGGATGAGGATAGGAAAATAATTTTTTTCTAAGACGAGGTTTCACCATGTTGGTCAGGCTGGTCTTGAGCTCCTGACCTCAGGTGATCCACCTGCCTTGGATTACAGGCATGAGCCACCATGCCTGGCCGAAGAATAATTTTTTAAAATTGAAATTTCAGGTTCTTCTAGCAAGACACAAGGCAGAAGAAGTGTTCTATGCTGTCAAAGTTTTACAGAAGAAAGCAATCCTGAAAAAGAAAGAGGTATGAGATGTGCTTGATGGGGTTGGCATTGGAGGTAGACACAACTTGAATAATCTTGACCTTGGAATTTTGGTGCCAAGTCGATATTTGCCACTAAATCTGAATTGGCGTTTTCCTAGGAGAAGCATATTATGTCAGAACGGAATGTTCTGTTGAAGAACGTGAAACACCCTTTCCTGGTGGGCCTTCACTTCTCTTTCCAGACTGCTGACAAATTGTACTTTGTCCTGGACTACATTAATGGTGGAGAGGTGAGCAGGGGGAATAGAAGTCAACTCTTAGTGTCTCTGCACAGCCTGCTTTGTTTTATGTTGAGAAGAAAGTTTTCAAAGCTACTTGGTGGGGGGAAAGTTACCAGAATTAGCATTTCCTTCAACATGTCAGATTTAAATAGTTAATAGATTACTTGGGGGCTACTTTCTGCAGTTGTGCTTTTGCTGTGTATGTCAAAACTAATTAAATGCATTTGCAACCCAGACTGACTCTGTTTGTCTCCTGCAGTTGTTCTACCATCTCCAGCGGGAACGCTGCTTCCTGGAACCACGGGCTCGTTTCTATGCTGCTGAAATAGCCAGTGCCTTGGGCTACCTGCACTCACTGAACATCGTTTATAGGTAAGCCGGAGAGCTCTAAGGCTACCTGCTTGGTGTAAAGGAGACTGTAGCACTGGCTCTTTGATAGGACCTTAAAATAATCTATGTTTATGTGCAACTTGTTTGCCTAAAACCAGATCCCCTAGCATGTGAGCTGGCTTGACTTCATGCCACTGGGGAACCGGCCAAGTAGGATTGTGCCTAATCCAGAATAGATGAGCAGAACAAGGCCTCCCTTTTTTCTTCACTATAGAACTACAGTGAACCTAAAATGCTTCTAATACCTTTAGCAGTTACTTTACAGAGGATATCTTATTAAGTGAAATTAACTTGTGCAACGACTTCTGTCTTCACTTTTTTGCAGAGACTTAAAACCAGAGAATATTTTGCTAGATTCACAGGGACACATTGTCCTTACTGACTTTGGACTCTGCAAGGAGAACATTGAACACAACAGCACGACTTCTACCTTCTGTGGCACGCCGGAGGTAGGCGCAATTTGGTTTGGTGCCTATTTTACCCCCGCCTTCCAGGTGAGAGATGTGCAATCAATCATGTCTTTAACTCCCAAAAGAGTAGACTCCTCTCAAACTTCTTAGTACAATTCAATGCAAATAAAATGAATTTACTGTTTGATGTAGCATGAGAAATCCCAAGGCCCTTTGTGGCTTTACTGAAAACTAGCTGTAAGATCTGCATTCCAAAAGTTTTCTAAATCCCCAAGTAAGATATGTTGAGTGCCCAGCAGTTTCCTAAATATCAGTATACAAAGGTAGCCAATAAAGTCCACCCTCAAAAAGTCCAGGAGTTTTATCAGGTAATCTAAAGATATGTATCCTCCAAGCTGGCTCTGGGTCTCTCAGCCTTTTCAAACTAAACGTGTGGGTGTGGAATGCATTTGCAGGTTCTGAACTCCATTTCTTTGGTCTATCTTTCAGTATCTCGCACCTGAGGTGCTTCATAAGCAGCCTTATGACAGGACCGTGGACTGGTGGTGTCTGGGAGCCGTCTTGTATGAGATGCTTTATGGCCTGGTGAGTGGTGCAATGGGAATCATGAAACACCACCTGCTGTTTAGAATATTGTCTTAGCACAGCTCATGCTTGGCCATGTGTCTTACCCTTATCAGAAGGTTTATCAAAAGCAGCTGAGAGGCATATTGGTTAATTCTATTTCATAAGAATAATCACTTAATTAGTTATTCTGTGCATTTCACATTTCACTAGATAGGACCACACTTAACCTGTGTGGTGGTTAAAAAAACCTACCATTTATTATCTGTCCTCTCACCCTACACACACACCCATAATGGTTGCAAAGTAGACACTTAAATAGCAAGGGAAAAGAACACATCGAGGTGGGGGGAGTCTCAAATCCAGCAGCACATTTATTGCAGTTTACAGCTTTTTCTCTATGGGTAATATAATTTTCCCCTTCTTTCAGCCTCCTTTTTATAGCCGAAACACAGCTGAGATGTACGACAACATTCTGAACAAACCCCTCCAGTTGAAACCAAATATTACAAATTCCGCAAGGCACCTCCTGGAGAGCCTCCTGCAGAAGGACAGGACTAAGCGGCTCGGGGCCAAGGATGACTTTGTGAGTGATCTTTTCCTGCTCTCCTGGGCCGGCTGGGACAGGCACTGGACCTCCCTACCCTTACTGAATGCAACTGTCTAAATGAATCTTGGGTTTCTTACCAACAGATGGAGATTAAGAGTCATGTCTTCTTCTCCCTAATTAACTGGGATGATCTCATTAATAAGAAGATTACACCCCCTTTTAACCCAAATGTGGTGAGTATCTGTCTCTTTTCTAAGTATAGTGAAGCCAAAAGGTCATTTCTTTTAATTCAGAATTGCCTGGGGAGGGGAGGAAGGAATAAATTGGCAGATGTTTTCTCCATAAACCCATTATTTTACCTACAGAAAAAGTACATTTGTATGTCCCAACAAGGCTTCCATAATTTTTAAACAGATGTATCAATTAAAAGTATCAAAAGGCAAAAAGTGAGCATTAGTCTTCTGTTTAAAATGTGTGTAGCCTTTTGAGAGTTTGTGCTTGAAATGAGTAATTATGGAAGTCGATGTCAGGCTTAAATTTGGAATTTAAAGTCTGGCCATGATTGCCCCATTCTGTGTCCTGCATGAGTTCTTGACAACAGCGTTTTTTCCTTCCCGTCACAGAGCGGACCCAACGACCTGCGGCACTTTGACCCTGAGTTTACCGAAGAGCCTGTCCCCAACTCCATTGGCAAGTCCCCCGACAGCATCCTCGTCACAGCCAGCGTCAAGGAAGCTGCCGAGGCTTTCCTAGGCTTTTCCTACGCGCCTCCCACAGACTCCTTCCTCTGAACATGGTTAGGGTTTGGTTCTAAAGGATTTGATGTGTGTTTCTGAATGTTTTAGTTAGCCTTTTGGTGGAGCCGCCAGCCAACAGGACATCTTCTTACAAGAGAATTTGCACATCTCTGGAAGCTTAGCAATCTTATTGCACACTGTTTGCTGGAAGCTTTTCGAAGAGCACATCCTCCTCAGTGAGCTCATGAGGTTTTCATTTTTATTCTTCCTTCCAACGTGGTGCTATCTCTGAAACGAGCATTAGAGTGCCGCCTTAGGCAGACAGATGCAGGAGTTTTGTTAGAAAGAAGGCGGACGCTGTTCTCGGAACGGTCTCCTGCAGGTCTCTCTGGGCTGTGATGATGAATCTTATGAAATGTGCCTTTTCCGAAGAGATTGTGTTAGCTCCAAAGCTTTTCCTATCGCAGTGTTTCAGTTCTTTATTTTTTCCTTGTGGACATGCTGTGTGAACAGTCATGTGAGTGTGGTATGCCTGATCGCAGATGGATTGTGTTATAAGCATCAATGTGACACTTGCAGGACACGACAACGTGGGACATTGTTTGTTTCTTCCATATTTGGAAGATAAATTTATGTGTAGACTTCTTTTGTAAGATATGGTTAATAACTAAAATTTATTGAAATGGTCTTGCAATGACTTGTATTCAGATGCTTAAAGAAAGCATTGCTGCTACAAATATTTCTATTTTTAGAAAGGGTTTTTATGGACCAATGCCCCAGTTGTCAGTCAGAGCCGTTGGTGTATTTCATTGTTTAAAATGTCACCTGTAAAATGGGCATTATTTATGTTTTGTTTTGTTTTTTTTTTGGCATTCCTGGTGATTGTATGTATTGTATAAAGACAGTCTGTACATTGGGTTATAACACTAGTATATTTAAACTTACAGGCTTATTTGTAATGTAAACCACCATTTTAATGTACTGTAATTAACATGGTTATATAATATGTACAATCCTTTCTCCTATCACACAACTTTTTTGTGTGTGATAAACCGATTTTGGTTTGCAATAAAACCTTGAAAACTATTTACATATATTGTGTCCTGTGTTATTTTGTATGTTTTGGTGAAGGGGGCAATCATGGGTTAGTTTAAAATTGAGAACCATGAAAATCCTGCTGTAATTTCCAGCTTAGTGGTTTGCTCCCAGCAGCAGTGGTTTCTGACTCCAGGGGAGTATAGGACGGTCTTAAAGCCAACCTAGATTCCAGGCCTTTCCAGAAGCCTGTTATGGTGTCTGTCTGTCTTTGTAAATTCATTTAAAGACATCCTTTTCAATTTACTCATCTTGCAAGGATGGCTATGAAGTAATGCCTCCTGTATTTATTGCCCATCCTGTGAAGTTGGACTGTTTGTCCTGTCGTTTGTCTTGTCTTCAGTAATAGGTAATTCTTTCCAGAAATATTTGATATTTGAAAGCCTACTCTGGGCTGGGCTCTATTTTGAGTGAGTGCTTAGGACAAAGCAGGCAACTCTTTGCCCTAACAAAACCTAATGAAGGCAGGCTTGAAGCAGTTTGTTGAGATGGAAATTGAGAAACGGTCTGTAAGTTTAGGAGAATGCCACTCAAGAGGCTGAGAATTTTTTCTGAGACACCATCTCTGTCACCCAGGCTGGAGTGCAGTGATGTGATCTTGGTTCACTGCAGCCTCTGCCTCCCAGGTTCAAGTGATTCCACCACCTCAGCCTTCTGAGTAGATAGGACTACAGCCATGCACCACCATGCCTGGCTAATGTTTGTATTTTAGTAGAGACAGAGTTTCACCATATGGACCAGTCTGGTCTCGAACCCCTGACCTCAAGTGATTCACCTGCCTCAACTTCCCGAAGTGCTGGGGAGAATGTTTAGGTGAGCGGATATTTTCCAAAAAAGCTGACCTGGCTGGACTCACAGTTGCAGTTAACCAAAGTCCAGCATGGGCTCAGAAAAGGGACCTGGAAGGAGCTCATCCCTGGCTTGAACTGAAACCTCTTGAGCCAGTATCTACCTAGCACCCTAAGGGCCCAGCAGGCTCTGGGGCTGCGTGGCAAAGCCCACTTCCAGAGCTCACCCCACTGTGAATATGCTGTGCATGAGAAAGCAAGGTGGCACCATCCTAGGAGATCTCGAAACCGAAGCCTTTGGATTTTTTCACTCTTCTAGGCCTTCCACACAAAGACCTAACAAATAATCAGGGAGTCCCCAAAGGGTGGATCTTTCTGCTGCCTTAATTGCACAAGCACCCTCTAAGCCTGCTGCATCTGCGCTACCCTGCCCTTCCAGTTTGCATGGGGATTTCCCCAAGGGAAAGCTGTGAGCTTTTTTCCTCTTATCCTTGCTCTTGGGCCTTGTCTCACTTTCCCTCAGTCCCTCTCTCCTACCCTACCAGGTTTCCAAAAGCCAAACATGTTTGGAGATAACAGAGTTCTTCTCTTTCATAATCCAGAGAATGAATAAGATGAAAGAGAGTCGATCACTTCTTGCTCAAGGTGGGCCATAGGTCATGCTCTGCAGTTGACTTTCTGCTCTACTCTACAGGCATTAGCCATGTATTAAGTTCCCTACCAAACCCAGTTGACAAGAGTTCAAAGCACGTATTTTCCTAATAGATTGATGCTGGTTCTAACAGAGAGACTCATTGCATATTCCCATTCTCATTCTCAATAACAGTTATGAATTCCTCCTTGAACAAAAAGTGCTTAAATCTCATTTTTATCTGAACACAGTTCAAGCAGGCTTAGAAACCTGCAATCTAATTACAGATAACTCAGATGGGCCAGTCACGAGCTACACAGCATTTTTTTTTTTTTTCATTTTTTGAGGGTAGAAGTCTGGTTTATTGGATTGTAATCCATCGCTGTAGGAGATCTGAATTGTGTTTCTCCAGAATGGAAAGGTGCCAGAGGACACCCAGGCATTGTCACCCAGATGGGAGATAAAGCGCAAGTGGGTGGGAAGAGAACAAGGCAAGAACAGGAAGTTAAGAAAGAACAAGAGATCAATAAACAAATGACAAATATTTACTAAGCACTGTGCTGTCAAATAATGTGCTTGCAGAGGTATCTTTTACCTAAGGGAGTGGGGCATATCCCTGCCAGCACATTCCCGGAGTCCCAGCTAGCCTGCCTTTGAGCATGACAATTGATTGGACCAGCTGTAGGTCTACTCAATATGGGTTTGCGGGAACCCATTCAGCTAAGATTCTCATAAGCTAAAATATGACTCTAAAACCACTGCTACCAAAAAGAATAAGTCAGTCACTGTCTTTACAGAATTTGCCATCCACTTGGGGAGACAGAGCACCTACCCTTAATATGTGACAGGAGGTGAACGAAGGGTAAAGGGAACATCAGAAGTCCAGAGGCTCTCTCTGGGGTCAGTGCCTAGAGCAGGCTTTACTAAGTGGAGGCCCTAAGATTCTTCCTAACCCATTCTAGGAACTCTAATGGGATGTAGGCCCTGAGAACTGGATTCTAATAGTAATAGCTAGTTTCACTGAGCTCTTACTATGTGTCAGACATTGTTCTAAATTTGTTTTTGTTTGTTTGTTTGTTTTTGAGATAGGGTCTATAGCGTCTGTCTCTATCATCTGGAGTACGGTGGTATATTCAGCCTCAACCACCTGGACTAAGGTCCTACCACCTCAGCCTCCCAAGTAGCTGGGACTACCAGCATGTGCCACCATGCCTGACCAATTTTTTTTGTTTTTGTATTTTTGCAGAGATGTGGTTTCACCATGTTGTCCAGGCTGGTCTTGAACTCCCAAGTGCTGGGAAACAGGTGTGAGCCACCATGGCCGGCTGTTCTAAGTATTCTGGACTCAGGTGTTTAATCTTCGTAACAAACCTGTGATGTCAAAAGTGAAGAAACTAGCACAAAACGGTCATCAGCTGGTCAGTAAGTGGTGGGATTGAAAGTCAAATCATGTCAATCTGGCCCAAAGCCTATGCTTGTAGCCATTATTTATCCTGCCTCACAGGTGACAAGAAGACAGAAGCAAACAGCTGTGTGCTTGCTAGTCATCCATTTGTTAATTCATCAGACTTTTACAAAGATACCCTCTAGATGTCATGCTAGGCAAAGAGAGGGGGACGGAGAGGGAGACAGGGAAAATTTACAATTACAGACACTATCAGTGATTGATGATGAGAAGCAGCTGCAAAAACATACATTGCAGTGGATGTATAAATTTGTGTACCATTTTGGAAAACTGCTTGGCAGTATCTACTAAAGATGAAGATAGGTATAACTTGTGGCCCAATAATTTTCTTTTGTGGTATAGACCCCAAAGAGTGCACATATATGCAATAAAAAATTGTCAATAGTGCTCACAGTAATACTATTCAAGATGGTCCTAAAATGGGAACCATTCAAAATGTCCACCTAGAGGAAAATGAATAAAGAAAGCGTGGTGCTGGGCGCAGCGGCTCACACCTGTAATTCTAGCACTTTGGGAGGCCAAGGCAGGTGGACCACCAGCGGTCAAGAGTTCGAGACCAGCCTAGCCAACACGGTGAAACCCAATCTCTACTAAAAATAAAAAAATTAGCTGAGTGTGGTTGTGGTTGCCTGTGGGTGCTGGTAATCCCGGAGGCTGAAGCAGGAGAATCGTTTGAACCTGAGAGGCAAAGGTTGCAGTGAGCCGAGATTGTGACATTGCACTCCAGCCTGGGTGACAAGAGCGAAACTCCGTCTCAAAAAAGAAAAAAGAAATTAGTGTGGTTTCATATACTGAAATACTACCCAATGAAAATGAGTGAATAATTGCTATATACAGGTAAAAAATTTCACAAAACTTAGACTATATAATTTATTACATTGATAGAAAATTATTTATATAAAATTATGTATTATATTTACATAAAATGTAAAAGCAGGCAAACAGCATGAATCGATTTGGAAGTTAAGATGTGATTACCTTTGGGGAGGAAGGCAGAGCTTATAGTTAAGAGGGTGCATGAGAGAGACATCCTACCAGGTGCTGTGAATTTCTTGATCTGATCTTGAGTTCATCAACCCATACACTTATGATATATGCATTTTTCTCTGTATGCGTTATGTAACAAAAATGTGTATTACAAATATGTGGTATGGTGAAAACAGGATGTTTGTATACATAGAAGTGACACCTTACCCAAATTGGGGGTCAGGAAAAGGGAGGACATTTTTAGGTGGTTTAGGAAAGAGACGCTTAGGGAGATCTGGAGGACCAAGTAGGCTGTCTTGGAGAAACTGGATCTTGAAAATGAAGCAGAAAGGACATTCCAGGTGCAGGCTGGTAATGGGAGATGGGGGCAGGGAAGGACTTCCAAATAAGGACAATGAATGGGAGGTTGGCAATAGAAAGGGACCAGATAAACCTAGGGCAGAGGCCGGGCGTGGTGGCTCACGCCTATAATCCCAGCACTTTGGGAGGCCAAGGCGGGTGGATCATGAGGTCAAGAGATCGAGACTGTCCTGGTCAACGAGGTGAAACCCCGTCTCTACTAAAAATACAAAAATTAGCTGGGCATGGTGGTGCACCCCTGTAGTCCCAGCTATTCAAGAGGCTAAGGCAGGAGAATTGCTTGAACCCAGAAGGCAGAGGTTGCGGTGAGCCAAGATCGTGCCATTGCACTCCAGTCTGGGTAACAACAGCGAAACTCCATCTCAAAAAAAGCAAAAACAAAAACAAAAACAAACCTAGGGCAGAATCTCATCTCTACTGATCTGCTTTCCTTCCCTCCATTCCTCTCTTTCTCTCTTTCTTTCTTTTTGAAATGGGGTTTTGCTCCAGTTGCCCAGGCTGGAATGCAGTGGTGCAATCTCGGCTCACTGCAAACTTTGCCTCTCAGGCTCAAGCAATTCTGCCTCAGCCTCCCAAGTAGCTGGGATTACTGGCACCCACAGGCAACCACAACCATGCTCAGCTAATTTTTTTTATTTTTAGTAGTTTAGCCAGCAGTGATCTCCTGATGCCTTACTGGAAACTTTGTTTACTTATCTGCTATCTTCTGTTTTGTTTTTAGTTAGTTTTCATTGTGAGCACACATAATACCTAGTTACATCTTAAG